AGGAATGCCCTTCTGCTGCCATCTCATGGAACTACAAATGAAGTGTGTTTGCCAGTGAGGCACCGATGCCTCACCCGGACTGAGCGATGGCCCCTCTGGGCTAACGGAGCCCGGCTGTTGGGCGGCCGTTGCCATTTCCCGACGGACTCCCGAAGCCCTGCCGCGGCACCGGAACACCAAGCCAGCGCTTTGTCCCCGGACACATTAGCATTTGGGTGACAAACTGGGCCCCGACAGGCTGCTTGTCGTTCGGAGAGCCGGGCCTCTCTCCTTCACATCCACCTTAGCATAAGCCTTTGCACTTTCTGCCCAGCACTGTGAATGGGTTCTCCAGCAAAGTACTTTACAGCTTAATTCTCATCTGCTGTGAAGAGGATAAGGGAAATACTGTAGAGCGTTTTAAAAGAAATTAATTTGCCTTTCAGATAGCGGAACGGAATTTTCAAGGCGGTAAGACAGGATTACTGCCAGTGCAAACAGCTGGGCCGAATCAGCAGAGCTGCTTGCGAGGCGCTTCGCATGGTGCCCTCGTCCTCTTAAGCCTGCTCACCACTAAGGAAGCGCAGGCAGCGAGCACACGCCCGCAGGGAGAGCAGCACACCGGCACCAGGCCACGCGTGTTCTGAAGGCCTCGCTGACGCCCTGCGTCTCGGCCATGGAACTGATCGGCAGTGCAAGAACACAACAGGCTCCAGGCTGCCACAGAAAGGTGGCCACACGCAGGCCACAGGGAGGTTTCCAAGAATTTCACGGAAGGGAGTGACAGCGCAAGAACGGCGCTTCCAGAGCACGTTCCGCTCTCCCGTCCCCAGCAACAGCACTGCAGCCTCAGCTGAGAACGAGCCTTCTCTCTACATGCACTGGAAAAAGCAATGAGGAAGCAAACCGTGCCTCTTCCTCAACGAGCCTTCCTCCCACAGCAAGCACAGCGGCACCCCTCCGACCCCAGACCCTCTCCTTTCTGCTGTTCCTTGGAAGAGCCGGTTTCCAGCTTGCCCGCTGCACCTACACGGCTCTAAGATTCCCTGACTTTATCCAGAACGAAGCAAATCTCCACCCTGTGCGAAGATGCCCACATCCCACCTACCAACCCAGGAGCATTCTCCTTCAAGCACAAACTTGCCTTCGACACCCACACCGCTGTCCCCTGCAGACGGCAGCTGGCTTCTCACACGCTCCCCCCCCCGCACCCTGCTCTCCCCCAGCCCGCCCCGGGCTTCTCCTGCTCACAACGGACACACGGCACGCATCCCTCCGGCCCCTCTCCCGCGCCCTCTCGCTCCCCAGCCCGGGCGCTGGCTGGGCAGTGCCGCAGCTCCTCTCCTGCCCGGGCAGCTTCTCCCGCCCGTCTCGCATCACCCGCATCCCTACCTCAAAGTCAAAGCTTCCTCCCAGGGCGCTGACATCCATGTGCACGTTTTTGAACAGCCTTGCTGTCCCACGGAGACTCTGCAGGCATTAAAAAAAGGAGATGACCACCACTGAGTTCGGGCTTCCGCAGCCCCGCGGGCCACGCAGGAGGAACTGGGGGTGCGCGCTCAGTGGCAGCGGGCAGCAGCGTCACAGCGATACGCCAGCAGCCAGTTCGCTCTGGAAACGCATCGCGGCCGACGCTGATGGATAGGGAGTACGGAGAAAACGGCATTAGACGCTTCTTGGCAACCGAGCACTGCACAGAGGAAATGCCGCACAAATTCCGGCCCAGAGTCGAATGGCACAACCGCGGTCCGCCAGCAATGACCAGGGGAGCATCAGTTCCTCACTCCCTGAGGCTTCCCGCACCGTGGTGAGCGACACGCGTTCAGAGCCACACGGGTTCTGGCTTCGGCTGCCGCCCCCAAC